TGCTGGTTCATCCTTCACAGTACATCCAAGACAATCAATGGAGATGTGCATGAAGAGATCATATTCTAACCTGGTTCAAAGGTCTACTCTACCAGCATCTTTAAGGATCCTAGCTCTGCTTCTTGCCTCTTCCAGGAAGGACAGTTCAGAGTTCTGAACTTAAGCAAGGAAAACCAGGAGTTCTTCTGGAACCGGAACATCCAGAATTACCGAAAAAGTCTTAGGAAAGATCTAGTGCTAGTAGTTTCTCATGCCCACCTAGCCATGCTTTCCAGAAGCTGCAACAGAAATGGGAGTTCCATACACAGCAGGTTATTTGCCAGTTGTCAAGAGTCATGATGGACGCTCACCAAAAAGTAACATTGGCAGTGGAGGGAACAATTTCTCATTTACGTAGGTACTCAGGAAAAAACCTTGGCCTGCCTTGTTTTCCAAGCATTGCCACCTTACATCCCAGAAGGAAATGGGCAGAAGATGCATGGCTTACTTAACCCCCTATGTTTTTTTTTTAACTGAATTTCCTTTATTTCTTTAAAAATAGCATGCTGTGACTGCAATAGATCTCTGCAACAGATCTCCGAAGATCTGTCGCTGCAACAAATCTCTAAGGGAGTTAAGCCTCAGCCTCAAGAATCCTGTGTGACACATTTCTGACAACCATTTAGTTAAAATGTTGAAAAAAATACCCGGTTCCCACAATATCTCCTGCAACTCTCCCCTCAAATACCTACATTTTTTAGACTATGCACAAACTGCCACGTATGAATGCAGGTGGTGCAAGCCTGAGTGATTTTAGAAATACCTGAAAACAGTCACCAGCATCATGCAACAACATACCCAGATAATCCTCCTCTGTGCCTCTTTAGCACATCCCAGAGAAGATCTCCTGCCATCACTTCATAAAACAATCCCTCAGGGTATTATACAATTCCTGAACTCTAAACAAACTAAAAAAGACCAGTGAGGTCCCCTCAGGTGATTATATGAACCTTCTGAGGCTCCAGATGAGGAAAAGGGTCTTCAGCCAGCAGACTGCCTCCTAGCCCTTTTCCCCCCATGTATAGCCAACAGCTTGCCACGAGGTACACTGCCTCCCTCTCCACAGTTATATTCAAGCACCACAAACTCCGAGAGTCATCCAGCCAACATGCAGCCAGGGAGGCAAGCACTATAGTTTGTCGGTTTGTTTTTTTTTTCCCCATGGAGAGGGAAGCTGAGGTACAGAGAGATCAAAGGCTACATTTTGCAGCCAATGACATTTTGCTCCTACATCTTTCTAGTACTTAAAAAAATCTCCCATGTCAGGATTAGCTAAACCACCACCGTTTAGCTAAAAAAGAGGAAAAAAAACCCCTCTCCTACATTTGAGATCACTGCCTCGCAGGGCTAATACTTTCTTTTATTCTCTCCCGCTCCATTCACACCACTAAGCTGTTATCACAGGCAGCTATTTGCTGACCCAGTGACAACACTTGTCTCAAGACCTTTGCAGAATTGAGGATGCAGAAATAACTCATAATGCAGACCGGGCCTCATCTCTCCAAAAGCAGCATAATCATATACATAAAAGCGCTGGCTATCTGAAGAAACATAGATTCTAGTCTCAATTTTGCTAGAAGTGACCATTGGGACTCCATTCACCCCACCATAAAAACAGGGAGCAGCTGAAAGTCTTAATGTTGGTGTTTGTGCTGTGGTAGCAGTGGAGTCACTGGGCATCTGCTACACAATGGCACAGCCAAGGAAAAAGTGAGCAAAAACCAAGACGTGCACGGCCAGGTTCTGGATTTCCCTCTAGTGGTCAGCTTCCAGCAAGCCAAGAACCTGTTACTGCTAAAAAATGTTCCTATGCTCTGCTTTACAGATTTCCATAATGGTTCAGAAATTACTAGCCAAGAGAGACTCCTCCAAATAAGCAGCATCTTCGCTAATTGCCGTGAGAGCCTTTTCAGTCAGTGCAAGAGAGTAATGGAACACCAGCTCTGCTCTTCCAAAAAAGGGCTTGTTTTTTATATTTTAATGCTCACGTGTATTTCCTCCAGTATCAGCCTTGTATTTGAAAGAACTATCGAGTCCAAAGTGTTAATACAGCATTTACCAGTAATTTGTTTCCCATCTATATAAATAACACTAGTTTGATACCTGACAAGTTTAAAAAACAGGTTTTCTATCAGAAATTTCAAACTTTTCTCAGACTTAGACATTTTCTCAAACTAAAAAGCAACAACCCCACACTGGTTATACCCACACCAAGCTGAGTCAGGCATACAGAGTTAAGAGAGGATGCAAAACGTATTTATCTACAGAAAACACAATGCAACTTTGAACGCAGAACAAAACTAGCACCTCAGCAACTGTTTTGCAAAAACTGCCCACCTAAGACAGACTAGAAAACATAAAGTTTGAATTCAGTTGTAGAATACTAGCTTCAACTACTTCAGAAGAGGAGAGGCAAAAAAGACGTGCCACAGAGCCAGGCAGCTCCAGACGACTGGTTCGAAATAACAAGGACGATACGGTACGCAAGTGCTTTCTTACCAATAGCCAAGCGAGTTGGTTTCTTCCTTGGAGGGTCCCCAGCACTGGAGTTGGTGTCTTCTTCCTTCTGTTTCATTGAAAGAAATGGGGAAATAGAGTTAGGGGGGCAGGCAAGCTGTGGCAAGCCTTAAGGATTGAAATTAAGCTACTCTGAAAACAGGCAGAAATAGCATGGGCAATCCATACAACAATTCACCATAAGTGGAGCTGAAGAACTGGTGTACCTCAATTCACCAAGAAAAACATCAGTTACATTTGAGGAGAGAGAACTCCGTATCTGACTGAATACAGAGACATAGCCCAGCTCTCAATTTCAGAACAAGTTTGATGGTATTTTTATTTTTATATTTTACCGGTTTACGTGTTCTTTTGAGGTGCAGGTAGACCCGCTGGCCTGTTTTCTGATAGTGCTTTTCCACATACTGCTTCCCAAAGCCCAGGAACGTGTTCATGCAGATATACAAGCCGCCATCTGACTCCTGGGAGGAAGGAGAGATAAAAACTCAAGGGAGGTGGTAAAGAATGCCATTCCAACTGCTAGAATAGGCACAGACTTCCCTCTAGGAACACTACTCATTATCCACTAAATCGTGGCTACAGCTTATTCCTACGTACCAGCCACTGAGTAGCTAGTCGGAAATAAGATGGCAAGCCCCAGCCTCGCTGTCCTAGAAGAACAGGTACTTCTGTCAAGATGACGTATTTAATAAGCTATTTGCCTGTTCCTTGATGTCAGGATGCTACCGATTCAGGAAAGCCTGAGTGAGGTTCCTCAGAAGCTTATCTCGCAAAAGGCCCTTAGCAAGCACAGTTCACAAGTGCAGAGCACGGTACAACCATCACCAACCAAACCGTGGCACCCTGTCTGAAAGCGTAATTCCCGGTGCCACAGGGAATGCTGCCAAACTACAGTGTGAGGAAGGTTAACAGACCACTGTTTATTTTTGCTGCTGCATTCGAAAGCTTGTGAGCAGCTCCGAAACGGATACAGAGTGAGCCCTCCCCATCCCAGAAGCACCTGGAAAACGCCACGTTCATTCAGCAGAGATACCCTTTTTAAATCAAAGGGGCTCGGGACCCAAACGCAGAGGCTGGAGAAGAAGGAAACCACCAAGAAGCTTTCAGCCTGCTTCCCAACACGAAGCAGCCGGGACAGAGTCAGAGCGGGGAGCGCATGGACAGGCATCCCCGCGGGGCTCCGGGAGGGAAAGAGGGCCAGGCTGCCGTGTGCTGCTTCCTCGAAGGACCCGTATCTTCCAGCCGCAGCCCATTCCTTCTGGTGGGCCGGGGCACAGCCCCGACGGGTGAAGCCAAGGAGCCGGGGGGGACGGGACGGACACCCTCGCCCTCCGGGGCCTCCCCAGGTCCGCCTAGGCCAGGCGGGGGTAGGGAGGGAGGAGCAGGGATGCCGGCGGGGTGGAGACGGCTGGAGAAGGGCCCCCTGCCACTTTAAGGACCCGGCCCCGCCTCCCCCCCCCCCCCGCCTGCCGGGCCACGCCGCCCGGTGAGGCCGGGGGCTCAGACCCGGGCAGGGCGGGACCCCCGACCCGCTCCC